GAGACCGAGCTCGTTAAGGAGCTCGTTAACTCAAATTACTCTATCAACGCAATGCAAAAAATCAGCCGAGAGACAGCTGGTATCTCAAAAAACTCGTTAGTCGGGACACTTGTAAGTCAAGGCCCCACTGTATTACAATATTGAACAGTTACTATCTGTCAGAATTTTTCCTAAAGATATAAAACATGCCTTATTTTATTTTCACAATATACCTATGAGGTAGGTACCATTGTTATTCTCATTTTACATACACAAAAGAATAGATTCTGGATAATTATCAGATTCTTAAAAAAGTAGAAACTTTCTGTTACTGAATACCTACTACGTATCAGGTATAACTGATAATCAATAACTTGCCAGGTTATGGTCCCAAGTGACAAAGCTATTAAGTTGCAGAACTGAGATCCAAAACTAGTTTGAATACAGTGCCTCTTCCGTTTTCCATGGGACAAGATGATTTTAGAGATGCAGCTATGCCTCATCTTTTCCAAATGAAGTAAGGCTTTTCCTATTCTTAAAAGACCTTTAAAAAATAAGATTTTTAAGCCTCCCTTCGAATACCCCCAACTTAAGCTCATTAACTCTTACATAGAAAGAATTTAAAAAATACTAGTTTAATTCAAGTCAGTTATTACAATGATTCTCTTCTTTGCCTGCTTATCAGAATCAACTGTGGGAATTAGTTAACTTTACTGGGATATAACATTGTGGTTAGCTCATAATGGCTCCCAAAGATATCCAGGTCCTAATCAGCAAACCCTGTGAATGCTACATAATATAGCAAAAGGAACTTTATAGATGTGATTAAGGATCTTGGGGGAGGGCGGGGGAGATTACTCATCCTGGATTATCCAGGTATGTCCTAAATGTAATCACAAGTGTTTTGTTTGTTTGTTTGTTTGTTTGTTTTTGGTAGTTTTTTTTAAGGGAGAGGGGGAGAGAAAAAGAAACATCGATGTGAGAACAACCCGTAGATCAGCTACCTCCTGCTTGCCCCTTACCAGGGATTGAGCCTGCAACTGGGGCAATGTGTTGTGCCCTGACCAGGAATCAAACTGGCAACCTTTCAGTTCATGGGATGACACCCAACCAACTGAGCCACACTGGCCAGGGCATCACAGTGCTGTTACAAGAGGGAGGCAGAGGGAGATTCAACCACAGGGGAGAAGGCAGTGTGATAGAAGCAGAGAGAGATTTTAACATGCTACACTGCTGGCTTTGAAGATGGAGGAAGGGTGCATGAGTCAAGGCATGCAATTCTTGAAGATGGAAAAGGTAAAGAAAGGGACTCTCCCCTAGAGCCTCCAGAAAGAATGTTGCCCTGCTGACACCCTGACTTTCACTTGGTGAAACTGATTGACTATTTCTGGCTTCCAGACCTATAAGAGAATAAATTCGTGTTATTTTAAGCCACCAAGCTTGTAGCAATTTGTTATGGCATCAATAGCAAAGTAATACAAACATACAAAATAAAAGTGTAAAGTGTACAAAGTGCACTAATCTTTTTTTTTTTTTTATTCTTTTAAAAAAAATATTAT